AATAGATATATGCACACCTATGTTCATTGTAGCACTCTTCATAATAGCAAAAAGAGGGAAACAACTTAGGTACCCATCAATGGATGAATGGATAAACAAATCATGGTATATCCACACAATGGAATACTACACAACGATAAAGAACAACGATGAAGCTGTGAAACATAACATGGAGGAAGCTGGAGGTCATTAGGCTGACTGAATTTAGTCAGTCACAGAAGGACAAATATTGTCTAAATCCAGTATTAGAAGAACTCAAGAAAAGGTTTAAACACAGAAGACAACATTCTTTGATGGTTATGAGGGTGGGGAGGGAGGGTGAGGGTTATTCACTAACCAGACCGTAGATAAGAATTATCTTAGGTGAAGGGAAGGACATCAGGCACTACAGGGGAAGTCAGCACAATTGCACTAAACCAAAAGCTAAGAAGCTTCCTTAATACAACCAAACACTTCGAGAGACAGAGTAGCAGAGGTGGGGGTCTGGGGACCATGTTTCAGGGTACATCTAGGTCAACTGGCATAACAAAGTTTATTAAGAAAATGTTCGGCATCCTACTTTGGTGAGCGGCATCTGGGGTCTTAAAAGCTTGCAAGCGGCCATCTAAGATGCAGCAATTGCTCCCAATCACCTGGAGTAAAGGAGAATGAAGAACACCAAAGACACAAGGAAAGTATTAGCCCAGGAGACAGGAAGGGGCTCATAAACCAGAGACTTCATCAGCCTGAGACCAGATGAACTAGAGGGTGCCAGGCTACCACAAATGACTGCCCTGACAGGGAGCACAAAAGAGAGTCCTGAATAGAGCAGGGGAAAGGTGGGGTGTAAACTCAAATTCTAGTAAGAAGACCAAACTTAACGGTCTGAGACTGGAGGAACCCCAGAAAGTATGGCCCCTGGATTCTCTATCAGCCCAGAACTAAAACAATTTCCAAGAACAACTCTTCAGACAGGGATTAGACTGGTCTGTGGGGCATAAAGTGATACTTGTGAGGAGTGTGCCTCTTAGCTCAAGTAGATAGAAGAGACTAAATGGGCAGCTTCTGTCCGGAGGTGATATGGAAAGGCAGAGGGGGTTAAAAGCTGGTTGAATGGACATGGGGAATCAGGGGTGGAAAGGAGGAGTGTGCTGTCACAGTATGGGCGGAGCAATTAAGAGTCGCATAACAATGTATGTATAAATTTTTGTATGGGAAAAATTTAAAAATTTAAAAAAATATTAGTGAGGGGGTTCTACTTCTAATAATAAATAATAGCAAAGTAGTTTCTATCAGACCAATCATCCTTCAGATAACTATAAGCCCTAAACAAAATATTAAAAGCTATCTGAAGAACTAGAGAGCAATGAAAAGCAGTTAGAAACTTGGGAGATTCGACACCTGAAAGAAGAAAACAGCACTGGGGGAGTTCCCACCTCCCTTTTACCATAGCTTTTTGTGGAAGGACAGGACCTAGTTGGGGCCAGAAAGAACACCGAAAAGTCAGATGGAAACTTACAATGCTAACGGCTTGAAGAACCACAGGAAAGTCTTAAGGGTCATAATAGCAACTAGAAAGTGATACAGGAAATCCAGAAAGCAATGATTCTCCAAATTCTGACCAAACCTCTGCAGGACCCCCAAATACACAAGTAAAGGGTAGAATTCGAAAAAGCCCAGCTAAAGCTAAAATAACTGAACAGATTTCAGCTGCTATTCACTGCAGGGAAGACATTAAGTTTGAGTTCACCCAAGTTAAACACATGCTAAAATTAAAAGCAACAACACTCTTCTGAGGAATAAAACAGAATCCAGTGTCTCTATAACATTTACAATGTCCAGAACACAATCCGAAATTACTACACACATAAAGAAACAGAAAAACATTAATTCATTATCAACAGGAAAGTATACTGAATGAAAACCAAATCTAATACGACCTAGATGCTGGAATTAACAAAGATTTTAAAGCAGCTATGTCCAATGAAAATATCCCTCAAGAATGAAGACAACTTAGGGAACACTGAGCTTCTGTTAAAGGTAATGGAAAAATTCAGGAATGGTTAATGCTGATGACTAAATAATAAGATGAAAGTATTTAATGTCACTCAACTGTATATGTGATGACTGTTAAAATGTCAAATGTTGTTACAGATTTAACACAAAAAACATTGTTTTTAAAAATAACAGAATGAAGGCAAAATAAGGACATTTTCAAGTAAATAAAAACTAAGAATTTATCACCAACAGATCTGACCTATAAAAAATCCTAAAGGAAGTTCCTCAGGCTGAAAGGAAATAATACTAGGAGAAAACTCAGACCTTCAAGAAGACTGAAGAGCACTAGAAATGGTAAATATGAAAGACTAATTTTTTCTAATTTCAAGGTACATAAAACTGTTTAAAGTATAAATAATAGCATTGTACTGTAGGGTTTACAGCTTAGATTTCATCTACAACATAAAGAGCAAGATGGAGGATCAATGCAAGTATACATACAAGATTCTACATTTTAAGTAAAAAGGTACAATACTATTAAATGGACCACTGTCTTAGTCATCTAGTGCTGCTATAATAGAAATACCACAAGTGGATGGTTTTAACGAAGAGAAGTTTATTTCCTCACAGTCAAAGTAGGCTAAAAGTCCAAATACAGGGCATCAGCTCCAGGGGAAGGCCTTCTCTCTCTGTTGACCTTCTCATCAATGTTCCCCCAGACTAGGAGCTTCTCTGGGCAGGAACCTGAGGTCCAAAGGACATGCTCTGCTCCCGGCACTGCTTTCTTGATGGTATGAGGTCCCCCTGTCTCTCTGCTCACTTCTGTCTTTTATATCTCAAGACACTGCCTCAGGATACAATTCAATCTTGTAGACTGAGTCCTGCCTTACTAACACAACTGCCGCCCATCCTTCCTCATTAACATCATAGAGGCAGGATTTACAATATATAGGAAAACCACACAATACCAGGAATCATGGCCCAGCCAAATTGATAGACACATTTTTTGGGGGACATAATTCAATCCATGACAACCATAAAATGTTAAGAATATATATTGCAATCCTTTGAACATCCACTAAAAAACAATGCAAAGAGGTAGAGCCAAAAAGCTAATATACAAATTTAAATGCAAATCTAAAATATATTCAAATACTAAGAAAAACTGAAATCAAATGTTAAAACAGTAGATCTTAATCCAGCCACATCAATAAAAGACATTATTAGGTTAAATGACAAAATTGGAATACAAGTGGCAGATTAAACAAAAGTTGTTATATCAGTGTTAAATTTACTGAAATTAATAACTATACTATAGTTACGTAAAAGAAAATCTTCTTCCATGAAATATACACTGAATTATTTAGAGTTAAAGGGCCATAACGTATGCAACTTGCTCCCAAACAGGACAGGAGAAAAACTGTGTGTGTGTTAAATGAAATTCTAAAATATATTCAAATACTCAGAAAAACTGAAAGCAAATGTTAAAGTAATAGATCTAAATCCAGCCACATAAATAAAGAACATTATTGAATTAATTGACAAAACTGGAATACAAGTGGTAGATTAAACAAACGTTGTTATATCAGTGTTAAATTTACTGAAATTAACAATTATACTATAGTGATGTAAAAGAAAATCTTCTTCCATGAAACACACACTGAATTATTTAGAGTTAAAGGGCCATAATATATGCAACTTACTCTCAAATAGGTCAGGAAAAAAAGTGTGTGTGTGTGTGTGTGTGTGTGTGTGTGTGTACACAAAAGGAGAGAGTACCATGATAAAGTCACGATGATAAAGTCAATGGGGTAAAATGTTAACAAGAGGAAACTGTGGAAGAATCTGGGTAAAGTGTTCTTCGTATGATCTTATTCTTGCAACTCTTCTGTAAGTTTGAAGTTATTTCAAAACAGATATAATAAAAGACAATTATAAAAATGTTATCAGAATAGAAAAATTTGAGAAATCATGTTAAGTGGTGAAATGCAAAAGGTACATTGTGGATGTGACTATTACAAAAATATATGCATGTGGACAGAGACTTGAGGGCAATAAGCAGAAATGAAAATATCTGCTTCAGACAAATGAGAGTTACAAAAATTAATACAGTTGCAGAAATGATAACATTTTAATCATTTTTGAATCTAGGTGAAAAGTGAAGACATTCATTCATTATACCATACTTTCAGTTTTTCTGCTGGACTAGAATTTTTCAAAAAAAAATTATTTGAAAAAACTTAAAAAACAAAATAACTACACAGTACCATAATAATCTGAATCAGTGTAAGTAGGAATACTTAAATAACACCAAATAACAAATAACCTACTCAGAATGGTTATGATGACAATATTTTGTGTAAACAATTCCATACCTATGAATATCTATCTATTTTTAAAACATATTTTAAGCAAAAATGGAATTCTACTGGGCATGTTTTATCACTGCTTTTCCACTCTATAGCATAGTGATCATAATTCTGGTTAATATACATATTTCTACTATCTCAAAACATTTAATGAGGTTGTCATAGCATAATTAAAATTAAGACAAAAGAACTAGGAAATAAGTGTCCTGGCAGGATTAGAAGTTGACATTCTACATATTATTAAAAATATTTCTATTTTACGAACTTATTTTACTAGTGAGTCTTAGTTATTTCTTTTTCAAACTGAGCATCCACTGTCTCTATCAATATTTCCCCTGAACAACAATAAATATCACTGCATTTACTGGAAGTGTTAACTTCATGAGTAACAAATACCTACCTATCTAATATTTTTCTGGATATGACAGTAAATATCACTACCATTTACATTGGCAAAATTTCTAATTTGAATATAATTAGAAGCTTGAAACCATACAAAAAAGTTCACATTTACTAAGCACTCCCCATGTAGCAGGCACTTTGGTGGATTAATTCGTTTACGTGTGGTAGAAAAAGTTGATAAGAATAAGTAAATAATTCTGTAATTAAAAAATAAATAAATTTAGAAAGATGACTGAAAATACTAGCTCTTACCAGAAAAGACATCAAATAAACTTGTTCCATCACCATTGTCATCATCTGCTGCCATGATCCTATTTCCTTTTGAGAGTCGCCATCTAACATATTAAAATAAAAGATTTTCCACTGTTAAAATAAACCTCATAATTGAGACTAAGCCTAGCTTTAAATTAAAAAGCAACTTTCAAATTTGAACACACTGAATAAGTTCACTCTTACCATCTTTAAAACTAGACCTGTGATTTCTAAAAAACGCCTAACATTTTCCAGGCTAAAGTCAAAGCTATAAAAAGAAAATCTTAAACTTGCTAATATGGTTAAGCTATGTTACAAAGTAAATATGCTGATTTTATAAAACAGACTAAAATACAAATTAACTTTGCACTAAAATAAGCCAAGAACCATCACTACTGCCACCGAACACACACATTAATACTAGCAAGAAACACTCATACAAAAAAATCACTTAGGCCTAATAGAAACACTGGGTCCTGGTGGCAAAGTGGTTAAGGGCTCAGCTGCTAACCAAAACGTTGGTAGTTCGAACCCACCAGCCACTCTGCAACAGAAAAACAAGGCAGTCTGCTTCCATAAAGATTTACAGCTTTGTAAGCCCCCTGGATTTACAAGTACAGATTATGCCTCAACATAAAAAAAAAATCCTCACAACTGGACCAATGAGCAACATCACGATAAACGGAAAAAAGATCGAAGTTGCCAAGGCTTTCATTTTGCTTGGATCCACAATCAACATCCATGGAAGCAGCAGTCAAGAAATCAAAAGACACACTGCCTTGGGCAAATCAGCTGCAAAAGACCTCTTTAAAGTGTTAAAAAGCAAAGAAGTCACCTTGACAACTAAGGCGTGCCTGACCCAAGCAATGGTATTTTCAATCACCTCATATGCACGCGAAAGCTGGATGATGAACAAGGAAGACTAAAGAATTGATGTCTTTGAATTGTGGTGTTGGCAAAGAATACTGAATATACCATGGACTGTCAGATGAACGAACAAATCTGTCTTGGAATAAGTACAGCAGAATGCTCATTAGGAGCAAGGATGGCGAGACTATGTCTCACATACTTTGGACATGTTATCAAAAGGAACAAGTCCCTGGAGAACATCATGCTTGGTGAAGCAGAAGGTCAGCGAAAAAGAGGAAGACCTTCAAGGAGATGGCTGCAACAATTAGCTCAAGCATAGTAATGATTGATAGGATGGTGCAGGACTGGGTAGTGTTTCGTTCTGTTGCACATAGGGTTGCTATGAGTTGGAACCGACTCAACAGCACCTAACAACGTGTGTGTGTATATATACATATACATATATGTATATACACACACATACAAGGTTAGCCCTTGGCTGGTATCTGAAAACTTGGGATTTCAGAAGGGTTCCCATCATTCCCAGAACAGATAAAAGTGGCTCACTGTGCCTAAACTGTTTGTGAAAACATGGCTTATGCTAAACACCTGCTTTTCTTCCAGGAGTCTAAAATTTTGGTATATGCTAGGCAGAGCTACCTATGTGACCAGCCTCCAATAAAAACCCTGGGCGCTGAGTCTCTAATGAGCTTCCCTGGTTGGCAACATTTCACACGTTGTCACCACTGGTTGCTGGGGGATTAAGTGCTTCCTGTGTGACTCCGGAAACCCTGATGGCATAGCGGTTAACAGCTACATCTGCTAACCAAAAGGTTGGCAGTTCGAATTCACCAGGCACTCCTTGAAAACTCTATGAGGTAGTTCTACTCCTATAGGGTCGCTATGAGTCGGAATGGACTCGATGCCAACGGGTGTGGTTTGGTTTGGTTTGTGTGACTCCACTGGGAAAGCACCCTTGGAAACTTGTACCTGGTTTCCTCCAGACTTCACCCCATGGGCCTTCTTCCCTTTGTTGATTGTGCTCTGCATCTTTTTACTATACTAAACCATACAAATATATGCAAAGTCCTGTTAGTCCTCCTAACAAATCATCAAGCCTGGGGGTGGTCTTGGGGACCAACGACACCGACTTCATACTGTTTTAGTTTTTATTACTGGTAGTTATTACTTTAAAAAAGAAGAGAAAGATTCTACTTGACCTAGTAAGTTAAAAACTGGGAAAGAGATATAAATCTAAGAGGTCTGGCAATTCTGGATCCTTTGTCACTCATCTGTCTCAAATTTTTTTCTATTTGTTTATATGACCATTATCCCCACAAAATAATATCTAGTCCCTACCTTGAAGATTAAAATTAAAAAAAAAAAATCACTTATGAATTTAAATGGAAGCAACTGTAGGCAGCTAACAGACACATGAGGAAATGCTCATAATCATTAGCCAGTAGAGAAATGCAAATCAAAACTACAATGAGATACCATCTCACCCCAACAAGGCTAGCATTAATCCAAAAAACACAAAATAATAAATGTTGGTGAGGTTGTGGGGAGACTGGAACGCTTATACACTATTGGTGGGAATGTAAAATGGTACAACCACTTTGGAAATCGATTTGGCACTTCCTTAAAAAGCTAGAAATAGAAGTACCATAAGATCCAGCAATACCGCTCCTTGGAATATATCCTAGAGAAATAAGAGCCGTCAAATGAATAGATATATGCACACCCATGTTCACTGCAGCACTCTTCACGATAGCAAAAAGATGGAAACAACCTAGGTGCCCATCAATGGACGAATGGATAAACAAATTATGGTATATTCACACAATGAATGGAATACTATGCAACTATAAAGAACAACAATGAATCCATGAAACATCTTATAACATGGAGGAATCTGGAAGGCATTATGCTGAGTGAATTCAGTCAGTCGCAAAAGGACAAATATTGTATAAGACCACTATTACAAGAACTCAAGAAAAGGTTTAAACACAGAAGAAAACATTCTTTGATGGTTATGAGGGTGGGTAGGGAGGGAGAAGGTTATTCACTAGCTAGATAGTAGACAAGAATGATCTTAGGTGAAGGGAAGGACAGCAGGCACTACAGGAGAAGTCAGCACAACTGGACTAAACCAAAGCTAAGAAGTTTCCCGAATACAACCAAACACTTCGAGGCACACAGTAGCAGGGGCGGGGGTCTGGGGACCATGTTTCAGGGGACATCTAGGTCAACTGGCATAACAAAGTTTATTAAGAAAATGTTCTGCATCCTACATTGGTGAGTGGCATCTGGGGTCTTAAAAGATAGCAAGCGACCATCTGAGATGCAATCAATTGGTCCCAACACAGCTGGAGTAAAGAAGAATGAAGAACACCAAAGACACAAAGAAAGTATCAGCTCAGGAGACAGAAAGGACCACATAAACCAGAGACTCCATCAGCCTGAGACCAGAAGAACTAGATGGCACTTGGCTACCACCAATGACCGCCCTGACGGGTGTTCTCTGAAAGGAGCAGAGAGTCCCTAATGGAGCAGGAGAAAAGCGAGGTGCAGAACTCAAATTCTAGTAAAAAGACCAGACTTAATGGTCTGACTGAGACTAGAGGAACCCCAGAAAGCATGGCCTCCGGACTCTCTGTCAGCCTACAACTAAAACCATTCCCGAGGCCAACTCTTCAAAGATTAGACTGGACTATGGGACATAAAATGATACTCGTGAACAGTGTGCTTCTTAGCTCAAGTAGATACATGAGACTAAATGGGTAGCTACTGTCCGGAGGTGAGATGAGAAGGCAGACAGGGTCAGGAGCTGGTTGAATGGACACGAGAGATCAGGGGTGGAAAGAAGGAGTGTGCTGTCACAGTACAGGGAGAGCAACTAGGGTCACATAACAATGTATGTATAAATTTTTATATGAGAGACTAACTTGAATTGTAAACTTGCACTTAAAGTACAATAAAAAATAATAATAAATAAATAAAAGGAAGCAATTGCTCATTTCTTAGTCACATCCCATGCTGCAGTAAGAGTTCTTCAAAATTGTTTGGGAATAATATATGTACAGTAATATAAAGAAATCAAACGAAGTTACTTGTGTGGTTTCTCAATATATACACGTTAAAATATTAAAGTGACTCGGGTAGTTTTCATGCCTCTCAATTCCCATTATTCCTTTCTTTGATAACTGAGCTGAGCCTTGTGACTATTTCTCCTTTGCTAGCTGACACAATGTTCATCAGTAGAGAGTGCTGGAGGGACACGAGAAGCAGAAAGAGATTTCTCTTCCTAGTTTCAGTGTGCCTGGCTACCCAGGCTCCTACAGAGCATGCTTTCTCCAGGGCTTACTTCCTGCAGTAGGCACAATTTCTCCAGTATGAGGCTCCTGCAGGGCATCGTTTTCTCCATGCCCGCATGGGTCAAGCATAGTAACCTCCTTCCAGATAAGGAGGAAAGAAGGAAAAGGAGACAAAGAGTAACTTTTACAGTGGAGAAACCTGGCAAACACTTCTTTAACCAAGTGATGAAGGTCAATATCAGTATCACCTCCAAATACTCCAGTTCCTTTGGAAGTTTATAAACATAGGTTAAAGGACAAATGCTAATGAAATTGGGAAACATATAGAACCGAATAAGGAGCACTGGTGGCACAACAGTTAAGTACTCAGCTGCTAACCAAAAGGTTGGTGGTTTGAACTCACGCAGCGGCTCAGCAGGAGAAAGACCTGGCAATCTGCTTCACAAAAATTACAGCCTAGGAACCCTATGGGGCAGTTCTACTCTGTCATATAGGGTTGCTATGAGTTGAAATCAACTCAACAGCACCCAACAAAGAACTGAATAACAATGAATACACCATAGAACAAAATTTATGGGATACAACTAAAATAGTACTATTAGAGGAAAATTTATATAGCATTAAATAAATACATAAGAGACAAAATATTAGTGAGTTCATATCCAACTCCAAGTCAGAAAAAGAATAAAGCCCAAAGAAAGAAAATTAAAAAGAGGAGAAATTAATATAAAGTAACAAGCACCACTAAGGATGAATTAACAAAAAGTTGGCTTGCAGAACTGAATTTCTGGGTTTGAAGGATTAGGAGCATAGTCTCGTGGGACATCTCAGTCACTTGGCATAATGTAGTTCATAAAGTCACGTTCTACATCCTAGTTTGATAAGCAGCATCAGAGGTCTTAAAAGCTTGCAAGCAG